CCCCAAAACCCCAAAACCCCAAAACCCCAAAACCCCGTTTAAGAAGGCAGGATTGGTATTTAATCTAGATTTGTATCTCCCCTCCTTCAAAACCTCCATCGACACAATCCTCGAAACCCTCGCCTTCATCAAAACCGAAGCCTACTCCCACTCTGCTAACACCCGGGACCTCCAATCCCTCCTCTCCTCCGACCGCTACTCCTTCCTATACGCCTACCTAGACACCTCCCCCGTAATCACCACCACTCAATCCCTCCTGACCGCTGCTCTAGCCCGCTTGACCGAGTCTCTCTCCCTCATCGCCAAGATCGAAGACCTCCTGGAAGAAATCCGCATGATCTGCGGTCACGTGTTCCACGTGAAGCAGCAGAAGATCCTCTTCGAAGTCTTCCTCCTTCTTGAAAATGTTCTTGAGTGACCTTGTCAAGAAGCCTTCGGCTTCTTGAAGGGGTTCACTGAACAAGTTGCGACACTGAAGGGGTGACTGGAAGAAATGGAGCAGCGGCTGAAGGCAGGTGGGTTCGTGTTCAGGGATTTAGAAGAAATTTGGAATTTATAGTGGGGAAAGGAGTGAAGAAGGAGAATTTATTCGTACTGGCTGAGAAGGAAGTGGAGAGGTTTTGTTATGGGTATGTGGAGAAGCAGCTGTATTGGCATCTGAGGTATTACTGGGACTTGTTGACTGAGTGGATGGAGGATTTTCAAACGGAGATTGCAGTGAAAGCGGGGTTTATGGGCGTGGATTGATCAGATGGCCTCCATCCAGTGAAGATACAGAATTTGGTCATGAAAGCGCTGAGTTATCTAACGATGATGAGGACTAATTACTTTGGTTTAAGGGATATGCTAATTGAGATTATTGATAAGAAAGGAAGAGGAGAAGGCAAGTTCTTGAGAGGCTTTGAAGATGATAAAGAAAAAGAGCTAGTCCTTTATGCAATCACTCTTGGAATTCCTGAGAATTATAGTAAAGAACTATGTGGTCTACTTCCATTGTATAAGGAAGTCAAAATGTACAAGCAAGTTAGGTACTTAAAGTCTATACGAGAATTCAAGGAGCCACTTGGTGATATTTACGAAGGTACGATAGAAGCGAGAAACTTCATGGCTTTACTGAAATCTTTTGATTAATAATCCAATTTTGGTCAATATTTGAGTAATTTACTGGGGTTTTGGGGTTTTGGGGTTTTGGGGTTTTGGGGTTGGGGTTTTGGGG